TTTCCTTTGTTGAGCAGCAATTCAGTTTGATGACTGTAGTCTTCCGTCTTCATTAGTAGGGGCTTCCAGTCTTCACTTTCAGTAAGCGAGATTGTGTTATCTTCACATGACAAGTTGTTAATGAGTGTTCCTCTAATCCCAATGCTGTGTTCTTCCTCATATAGTCCAGCTTCCTGGATTATTATTCAACACACAGATGGAATGAGGATGGTGAAAGAAATCGACCCTGATGACTACCTGTGATAGTGCAATTTCTTAATATGGATCTTCCATCCATGGCTCTGTAACTCCTACCAAATGATTAGGAGGGACCAAGCAAATAGGTGTGTGAAACACTCATGAAGGGGACTGGTCAGTTTTAGTTGCCATTCCCCTGTGTGTAAGAGAGCTATCTCAGAAGGAGGGAGAGAGAAATCTCAAGACCATCAAGGAACAAGGACCACCAGATGAGCATGTTCCACCAATGACACATACAGCTTTCCTCTAGTTCCTCAATGCTTCCTTACAAATCCGGCTAGACCAGAGCATGTACACGGGTACAGATAAGAGCTTGCAACACAGGGAATCCAGGACAGATAAGCCCCTCAGGACCAATAATGAGAGTAGCAATTCCAGGAGGGGAATGGGAAAGTGGAGGAAGAAAGGAGAAAGAAGGAACAAATCACAATGATCGACATATAACACCTCTCAGGGGGATGAACAACAGAAAAGTGGGTGAAGAGAGACATCGGTCAGTGTAAGACATGAAAAAAATAATAATTTATAAAGTATCAAGGATTCAAAAGGGAGGGAGGGGAGAAAATGAGAAGCTGATACCAAGGGCTCAAGTAGAAAGAAAATGTTTTGAAACTGATTATGGCAACAAATATACAAATGTGCTTGACATGATGGATGTATGGATTATGATAAGAGCTGTATGAGCCCCCCAATAAAATGATTTTTTTTTAAAGAAGAAGAGTATGTTTGAGATTCTTGCCTAAAGTACTAGAGATCTAGGTCAGAGCTGAGGCAAGGAGACCATGAATGAGACAGAGCAGAGGAGCAGCATGGAGCAGAGCAACAGGTGGGTTCTGGATCGAGGTAGGAACTGAGGGACCATGTGACTGAGAGGCTGAGGAACTTAGCTGCTGGCTGAGGAGAGGTGTTGCTGTGATCCAATGATTGTTTTCTGACCCTGATGTATGGAAGCTTGTTGACTTCCCCAATAAACCCCCATTGATGTGAGCTTTGTCGGTGAGTTCTGTGTGACCATTGCAACTGATTCTTAAACCAGCAGAGAAATTGTAGGTCAGAATAGGATAAAAGAAGGGTAGAGGGTGGAAGCACGTCTGACCTCTGCCCTGTGGCAGTCAGCCTTGAGTTGATGGGAAGTTGGATTCCTTCTCTTGTTTAGCCAAAGGAGGTCAAATGTGGCCCATTTTCTCAGTATCTTTTCTGACTTCTAACCATTCTGTATCTTCTTATTCTGTTTGAACCATTGCTTCTTGGGCTATGTATGGGTTTTGAGTAAACACAATTAAGTGTTCTGGAATTCCTATTCCTCAAAATAGTATCCATAATTTGTTATGATCCACCCAGTTGAATGTCTTATGTAGTCAATAAAACACAAACAAACTTTCTAGTATTATCTGGATTCATCCAAGATCCATTGAACATCAGGTATCAGCAATAACATCTCATATTCCACATTCTCTTCTGAATCCAGCTTGAATTTCTGGCAGTTCTCTTGTCGATTTATTGCAGCAACAACTTTTAAATTAACTTTAGCAAAAGTTTACTTGCATGTGATTTTCATGATATTGCTCAATAATTTCTGCATTCTCTTGAATCACCTCTCCTTGAAATGGACACAGACACTTTTCTCTGCTGGTTAAGAAGTTACCTCTCAAATTTGGGGGCCTAGATGAGTGCGTATTTCCGGTGTTGTATATTCACTTCCCTACTCGGAAATTATCAGGGATTCCCAAGACTAGTAAATTTCTAACCCTTTAACATGACAATCAAGAAAGTCACGTATCTACTGACACGAGGTAAATAAGTGACATGAGCTTGGTATGAGACTAGAAAAAGTGATGGGGACTATGGTAGTAAGAAATCTTAGTTGTATGAGCCCCCAATAAAATGATTTTTTAAAGAAAAATCTTAGGTTTCAATTCCAGGGGAAAAAACAGTTTTTCTGCCTATTACTGCTAAGGGAGACAGTTCTTTTGTTCCTGATCTCTTGATATTTCATAAGAAGTCACAAACTGAACATGTATCCATATTTTTACCTATGAAATTCTAAAATTTTTAAAATGTTATGTTAGTCAAATGAAACCTTTGGATGTCATTTTTACAATCTCTGTTCTAACAATCAATGCTGGCAATGCCTAATTTTTTGTGGCTCCCCTGTCTCACTTCATGTACTTCTGTCCTCTCCTGTAGCTGAACGGCGTCTTGTCTTCTCGTCTCCCTTGGGCTCTCTAGTGCCTTTGCTCTTCAACTGTAGACCGCCTTCCTGTTAGATGTCAGAGTTGGATTTCTCAGCAATGCCATCCAACAGGAACTGTCGTTACCCCTATTTTAAATCTTGGCAGCCCCTAACAGAGTGTTCCCTTTCTTTCTCTCTGTGTCCCTGCCCATAATGGAACAGAGTGCAGCAAATCTGAGAAGACTAGATAAAGTTAAATCATGCTCAGAATGAATGAACTCCCAGAGCAGGAATCAGCAACCTCTAGAATGGCTACCACTCAGTAAAGACTGAAAGACTTTCAGGGGCTGACTACATACTTAGCTAAGCCACTGGCTCTGGTATTTCAAACCTTCCCAGAGGAACCTCTGGAGACCAGCATGGTCATCTGCTCCTGAAAATTCACAACCTTGAAAATCCTACAGAACAAAGTACTACGCTGCACACGGAGAGTCCCTCTGGGTTGACGTTAACTAGACAACTAAGGTTTCCTTAGCCACAATGAAGACGAATCGTCTCTGGCTACTGTGCCTGGGGATTTCCAATGCCATGAAGCAAGTCCAATCTTGAAAACTATGGTGTCTGATTAAAGCAATCGTAATCCTTTCTTTAACTGCTCTTTTTAAACCCAATTCACTGAAGTCTACATATCTATGAAGGTTTGCTTTTTCACCCCTCTCCCTAGGCTTAAAAGGAGCTCTGTTGGTGTAAGTTCAGCAGTTTGAAACACCAGCCAGTCCTCAGGAGAAAGATGAGACTTTCTACTCCCATAGTTACAACCTACGGAGGCAACTCTCCCCTGTCGCTGTGAGCTAGGATTGCCGCCATAGCAGGGAGAGTGTTCCCTAGGCTTAAACAATTAATGAAATGATTTTTAATCACCAATCAAGGCCGCTACATGAAATGTTTTACTTGAACAACTTTCAGATCACTAATGTTTAACATGAAAATTATTAACACAGAAGGTTTTATTTAATACTCTTCTCTAAACTCCAACAATGTCAAAATCCTTTGATTATACCAACATATAACCTCAGGGTGCTGAGGAAACCACATTGAAAACCCAGTTGCTCTAAGACTGGAAGGAGTTTGTGGGTCATTCTGTCCTGAGCCTGAACCTGAGCCATGAGTGAGGTCACAGTTGTGTGATGGAACAAACCCTTTATTAGATTCTGGATCTGAGGGAAGCACTGTAGTAGTATGGAGCACAGCCTACTGTAGGTGGATATCAGGATTTTGTGGGATCCTATGCTGAGTTCTTATTTTTAAAGTCTATCATTTCTGTGAGAGGGTAAAGATATATTTTTAAGAGTAAAGATTATTTTCAGCCATGAGAAAACAGCACTTTTCAAGAGCCTAAATTATTGAAACTCTCTGGAGTTCCCAGCTGTAGGTAGGTTTCCAGATTTTGAATACATGTCACTGAGTTGTTTAGAACCACCTGCTTATCAGCCTCTAAGGTGGAAATATGGGGCATTTGATCAAATTCTAACCAAACAGTCAGAGACTTTTGATTCACAGTTGAATTGTATTTGGTTATTCATTAATTGTAGTCAGCAGCCTGATTTTTTTTGCCAGTCAGTCACCAAATACCCTCTTCATTTTATAAAGATAACTGGAAAAATAAAATGTCCGTCTGGTTCGCTAGAGGAGCAAAACTGGTGAAGAGTATAAGTATAGAGAGAGATTTACTTCAAGGAAATGACCCACAATCACTGGAGCTGGCAAATCCCACATCCATGGGCCAGGTTGACAGGCTGCTGACCTCTGCTGGCTCACCACTGTCAAGTAGATTCCAGCTCATAGCAAGCGACCCCACAGGGCAGAGTAGAAGGGCTCTCTAGGATTTCCAAGGTTGTAAATCTTTACAGAAGCAGACTACTACATCTTTGTCCAACGGTGAGATCCAGTTGAAGCCAAGTACTTTATCCACTGTGTCCTCAGGGCTCTCTTAATTGGTCCACAGGCCCTATAGTTCAAACTCGATGCAGAAGTGGACTGAGGCAAATAGGGAGGCGGTAATGGTCAAAGAGTTCATTCAGGAGGGTCGAGAGTCGTGTAATCGCATCCTCTGCCACGTCCACACTTCTTAAAAAATGTGGGTTTGGTTTATAAGAAATGACAAGGCAGAGATGGGCCTCCCAGAAGGAAGTCCTGGGTAAATCTTCCTACTGGAAGCTGTCCATGGCGTAAGCAAGTATGTCAACACTCTGGAAATACTCTAATGGTTTTACTATTTGTACATTGATTTAGAATGATACTATGTAAAGGGGAGCAATGGAAACAAATTTTGCTTAGGGATTTAGGAACAATTAAGAGAACCTTTCGCTCGGTTTTCAAACTCTCTACCTATCTTCGCTCGGTTTTCACGCACTCTACCAACCTCTCACTCAAATTTGTACATATTCCTACCACTCCCGGAGGCCCTGGACATGAAACTCCAGAAAGCATTGTGTAGGCGGGTTGCAAAAGAGATACAACTATTAATTTGTTGGGTTTAGTTTATTTCATTCAACTTAATATTTGTTTTTTCTGAATTACAGACAGAATCACTGGTCACATGGCAGCTTCTGATTTAAAATCAAAGCTTAAGCTGAATCCTCTAACAAAGGTACCCATCTACCATGGCAAGAGGTAGGAAGTAAATGTATTAAGGTAATAAATATATTAAGAAGATAAATCATTAGGATGATGGATATGTACTCTTTTCATCTCTATGTGTGATAGTTAGACATATAGATTAAATGTCGAGGTTTTTATGAAAAGACATATATATACCCTTTGGGGAGAGAAATGCCAGCTCTCCCCACTGAGGGCACAGAATGCCCTAGGTAGTTCAGGAGATGGTTGGTAATAAACAGATTTGTCTGAGTGTCTGTTTAAAGGATAATACATTTAGACCCTAAAGAAGACCTAACCCCTAAACAAGTCCGAATATAGAAAGATCTTAAACATGACCAGACAGATGAAATCATGTAACTTGGTCAGGGAAGGGAGGTTTGCCTGTGACATGAACCATAGCTTTTTCTTGGTCCGCTGACAACAAATTCCAGGTTGACAGGTTGTCTGTTTTGGAGCAGTGAGTCTCTAGTCAAGCAAGAACTACCTAAGACCTACCCCAGGTGGACTGTGTTCATTCCAATTCTAATGTTCTTGATTCTTGTTCTTGAAATATTGTAGCGTGAAGGACGTTTTCAAAATGTCTCATCCAGGATAAGGTCTGAAGTTCTGCCAAGTGTATTCTCCTTTTCACGGAGCTAATGCAGAGCCCTGGTGGCTGTCAGGTAGATAGTGGATCCTCACTGCAAAGTCAGTGGTTCAAGCCAGCCAGATGCTCCTCCAGCAAAAGATGAAACTATAAGATTTACAACCTCAGAATCCCTACAGAGAGTCCACAGGAGTTACAGTCAACCCGGTGACAGTGGGTTTGGGTTTTGAAATGAAGGCTTTATATTGCCTGGCCTCTCACTTTTCTCGAGCATCTATAAAATTTATTTTTCTGTCTACTCCATCTTTTACATCATGACAAAAATATGCTTACATTTAGAAATACAAATAAAATCATGCACCTGAGTAAACTCCAATAGGTGACAAAAAGAAAATACCAGAAGAAAAAACAATGTTAGTAAAAGCAGAGAAAAGTCTATGTTGGAAAAGTTGAGAACAGGTATTCGGTGAGCTTAATACCACCCCTTTTTTTTTTTACCAGATCCCTCTTTAAATCTACTAGATACTGTAGAAAATCTAAAATTAATCAACTTTCATTATTTTTTGCCTTACTATAGTTCTTAGTATGTCTCTCTTCAATTTTAACTGCTTGTACAACCACAAAAACTTACGAGATGACCTATTTCTGAAACCTTGATTCTGTTAGTATCAAACCCAAAGGCATTTTACATGAAATAAATTTATTTTAAAATGTACTGTGATTTGTGTAAATTTGCTTCTAAATTAACATAGTATAAGCAAATACCATTTTACATGTTTCATTTGCATGGGGCGTGGATAGTTAGGCACCTCACAACCAACTGGAAGGCTGGCCTTCAAAGACAGGCCTGCTACCCCGTCTTCAGCAGGTCACAGCCTGCAAACCCTGAGGCAGTTCCACTGTGCACACAGAAGGTCGCCAGACTTGGGTGGACTGCAGCAACTAGCAATCACAAATAGTGACTGGCTGCAGATCTATAGAGCTCACTGCCGTTGAGTAGATCTCAGCTCATAGCAACCCTATAAGGTAGCCCAAAGTATTAATATTTTCCTGCTTTTTCCAGTCTTTATTTTCCTGAGAAAGTGAGAAGTGAAACAGGGTTACAAACTTTCCGATAATGCCTTCTCTCTCACTTTCTCTTCTGTTCCTTTTCTTTCTTTTTTTTTTTAATCATTTTATTAGGGGTTCATACAACTCTTATCACAATCCATACATGCATCAATTGTGTCAAGCACATTTGTACATTCATTGCCCTCATCATTCTCAAAACATTTGCTCTCCACTTAAGCCCATGGCATCAGCTCCTCATTTTCCCCCTCCCTTCCTGCTCCCGCCTCCCTCATGGACCCTTGATAATTTATAAATTCTTATTTTGTCATGTCTTACACTGTCCGACGTCTCCCTTCACCCACTTTTCTGTTGTCCTTCCCCCAGGGAGGAGGTTATATGTAGATCCTTGTAACCGGTTCCCCCTCTCTACCCACCCTCCCAGTATTGCCACTCTCACCACTGGTCCTGAAGGGATCATCAGCCCTGGATTCCCTGTGTTTCCTGTTCCTAACTGTACCAGTGTACATCCTCTGGTCTAGCCAGATTTGTAAGATAGAATTGGAATCATGATAGTGGGGGGGAGGAAAGCATTTAGGAACTAGAGGAAAGTTGTATGTTTCATTGTTGCTATACTGCACCCTGACTGGCTCATATCCTCCCCGCGACCCTTATGTAAGGGGATGTCCAATTGTCTACAGATGGGCTTTGGGTCTCCACTCAGCACTCCCCCTCATTCACAATGATATGATTTTTTTTGTTCTGAAGATATTGATCCCTTCAACACCTCATGATCGCACAGGCTGGTGTGCTTCTTCCATTTGGGCTTTGCTGCTTCTGAGCTAGATGACCGCTTGTTTACCTTCAAGCCTTTAAGACCCCAGACGCTATATCTTTTGCTAGCCGGGCACCATCAGCTTTCTTCACCACATTTGCTTATGCCCCCATTTCTCTTCAGCGATTTTATCGGGGAGGTGAGCACACAATGATATGATTTTTTGTTCTTTGATGCCTGATAACTGATCCCTTCGGCATCTCATAGTATGGCAGGGACCAGACCAAATCCAGGGATACATATGGTAGCCAACTAAAAAGGGGGGTGGGGTGGAAAATAAAAAAGAAATGGATAGTGGGGGAACAGGGCACTAACCCACCCAAGGGGAAGGTGTTGTTTATAACTTCTGTTCCTTTTCCTGTCTCCTCTCTCCCTCCTTCCTTTTCTCTTTCTTCCCTTTCCAACCACCCCCGGCCCTTCTCTCATATGCTGGTAGAAATACAAGCCAGCAAAACATATTTTCAAATCTTAAAATAACCATGGATGCAAAACTTTCTCAGTACAGACATTCATCACACATAGTTGATATTATTTAGATATTTGAAACAGCTTATTTTTCTAACAATAGGAATCATATAAGACTTATAGACTTGAGCTCTTAAATCTAGCAAACCTGGGTTTGAATCCCAGGTTTTCTACTCACTGTTTCTGTGATCTGGCACAAGTTTTGTAAAATGACAGAAATCCGATTTGGTTTTTTTTTTAGGAAAGTAGGGCTGATGAACAAATAGAGAGTTGATCTCAGTAGCCAACATTTTGTCACTGTCCACCCTGTCATTAATGGCAAGTGACAGTGACCGCTTTCTTAGGTAGTATGTCTGGTTATATCGTAATGCTGACAGTCAGCAAAATGGGACTGCCATTTACTGCTTTCATATATGTATCGAATTTTCCCATGTATCTCTATCAGGGATAAAGAGCTGCTGGGATTTCTCCAAAACCAAGCCCAGCACAAAGAGAAGTTGAATGCTTCACAAATGGAAGGTATTGAGACTCAACCCCCAAATTTGCACTCTTTGGAGCACTTTCTGCCACTACAAAATGCTCCACGCTTTCCTCAAGGAGACATGTGAAACAACCGTTCACACAATTATAGGGCAGGTGTCATTACCCCTATAGAATGAATCATTCTCTTATACATAGATATGCTAACATTTGAGTGTAATATGAGCTGTTTTGTTCTGTTGCCATAATTTGGGATATAACTTGATTATGAGCCTGTTTTTTTTTATTCACTAATTTTAGAAAATGCATTTGTTTTACTTTGGCTCTAGGTAGTGCATATTTCTTTGGGGGGGAATTGGTCTGTATAAAACATACATATGGTACATACATACCTACATAACTTGGGTCTGACTTGATGTATTAAGTTTTGATAACCGTCATAAGAAATTACTACAAACTTGGTCACTAACTCAATTCAAATTACTACCTCCCGGCCTGTAGGTCGGAAGTTCCAGCAGCCTCAGCTGCTTCCTCTTCTCTGAGTCTTCCCATTGCCCCGAGTTTACTCTGATTCCTAGTGACCCTAGAGCACAGAATAGAATTGCCCCATAGGGTTCCCAAGGGTGTAATCTTCCCGAAGGAGACCGCTACCATTTTCTTCTGTGAAGTGGCTGGTGGGGTCAAACCATTGACCTTGCAATTAGCATCCAAGCACTTAAATATGCTACCAGGGCTTTTTTTCTATGGGTTCTCCAAAGCTGGAATCAAGCTGTCAATCAGACTTGGGCTCTTTCCTGAAGGATCTGAGAGAAATCTGCTCTCAAGTTCTTGGCAGAATTCATTTTCTTAAACCCCCAGCTCTAGGCTAGCTGTGAACCAAGAGCCTTCCTCAGTCCCTGAAGGCCACCCACACTCCACATTGTGTTACCCTCCCTCTTCAAACAAGCAAGTCTGGGTCAGACCCTGCTCACGTTTCAAATCTCTCTGATAGCCCCTTCTGCTTCATCCCTTTGCTCCCAACAGAAAAAGATTCTCTGTGTTTAAGAGCTCGTGTGATTAGATGGCACCCACTCAGATCATTTTCCCGTCTTAATTATGTTGTTGTTGTTGTTGTTGTTGTTGTTAGGTACTGTTAAGTTGGTTCTGACTTACAGTGACCCCATATACAAGAGTATGAAACTGCATGGTCCTGTACCATTCTCATAATTGTTATGTTTGAGCTCATTATGATAGCACTATATCAGTTCATATCCTTGGGGGAGTTCTCTTTTTGCTCACCCTCTACTTTGCCAAGCATGGTGTCCTTTCCCAGGGACTGGCCCTCCTGATAACATGTCAAAAGCACATAAGACAAATCTCATCGTTTTCACTTCTAAAGCATATTTTGGCTGTACTTCATCCATTACAGATTTGTTCATCCTTCTGGGCATCCATGCTTTATTCAATGTTGTTAATCAACATCGTAATTCAGATATACGAAGTCGCAGCAAATAAGACTCTATCTGCTTTGAACACATTAAAGGAGACTTTTGCAGCAGGTGTTCTAAATGTAAATTTCTTGACGGCTATTTCCCTGGGTGTTGATAGTGAGTCCAAGTAAAATTAGATCCTTGACAACTTCAATCTTTCCCCAGTTATCATGATGTTGTTTATTGGACCAGTTGGGAGGATTGGGTTTTTTTTAAGTTGCTGCATAATCCATGCTGACGGCTGCAGTCCGGGTCTTCATCAGCGAGTGCTTCAAGTCCTCTCCCCACAGCGTGCAAGGTTGGGTCATCATCACACTGCATGTTGTTAATGAGGCTTTCTCCAAGCTTAATGCTGCGTTTTCCTTCATATAGATTATTTGCTCAACATCTAAACTTAATAAATACAGTGAAAGGAACATTCAGTATGCACTTATTCTGTTTGAATTACCACCTCTTGGTCGATGGACAGGTTATCCCATGAGTACAACTAAGTGCTCAGGAATTCCTGCTCTTCACAATGTTATCCTTAATCTGTTATGGTACACACAGTCAAATGCATGGTCAACGAAACACAGGTAAGCTATCTGATATTCTCTGCTCTCGGCCCAGATCCATCTAATGTCAGCAGTAAGGTCTTCTTTCCACATCTTCTGAAACAGGCTGGAAGTTCTGGCAGTTCTCTCAGTGTACTACCACTGCCATTTTAAATGTCAGCACAATCTTACTTGTGTGTGATATTCATGATGCTGTTCAATAATTTCTGCATTCTGCTGCATCACTCTTCTTGGGAAGGGCAGACCTATGTATTTATTCCACTTGGTTGGTCAAGTAGCTGTCTTCCAAATTCTTGGCATGGGCAAGTGAGTTCTTCCAGTAATGCGCTCATTTGTTTAAACAATTGGTATCAGTCAATTCCTTAACTAAACTATCTGCCAGGCAACATAGCATCTTCAACAAGTTCCAGGGACTAAGATATGAATATCTTTCGGAGGCCATTCTACCGCCTACATTTGGTTTTCTACAAATTCATTTACTCCAGTTCAGAACTCATGGAAGAACAATCTTTTATAAGAAATGTTAAAGTTCTCATTTTTCTTTCAACACTTTTTCAGAATATTATCTCCATATGAAATGTGCCCAAGTTCCATTATCATGTGTAATCTTAAATGATTATCCTGACTAATTACTAACTTAATTCCATATCCCCAGCCTTCCAAAATGCCTACAACTTCTTCAACAAGGATAAAACTGGCAGCATTGATTTACATGGAATGATGTGCACTTTAGCTAAATTGGGAATGAATCTAACCAAGCATGATGTCTATAGTGAATTGAGATGTGCTGATATTGACCGTAAGTACTTTTGTTTCTCCTTATTTTTGTCAACATTTTTTTGTGAATATGTAGTTTTCTGTTGTTATTAGATGCCATCAACTCCATTACAACTCATAGCGACTCTATGCATAATCGAATGAAGCATTACCTAGTCCTGCACCACCCTCACAAACGTTAAACTGGAACCCATTGGTGCTGCCACTGTGTCAATCCATCTTGTCAGAAATCTTCCTCTTGGGGGGAGGGAGCCCTAGAATGGATTGTGATTGCATAACTCATTTTAAAGGAGATTTAACCATGCTCTAAAATTGATGTAGTAATGATTGTACAATTCTTCTTGATATGATTGAAGTGTTGAATTGTATGATATGCAAATTATGTTCCAATAAAACTGTTGGGGGTTAAAATCTTCCTCTTTTTTGCTGCCCCTCCACTTTACCAACTATAATGTCCTTCTCCAAGAACAGCCTCTCATGATAGCATATCCAAAGTATGTGAAACTATCTCACTTCCTTTTTCTTTTTTTGCTTCAGGACATTCATTTATCTGTAATTAGAAATAGTTCACAATATATAATTACATAATCACAAAACGTATACACTTATAACTTAGTGTATAAGTTATACACTATGCTTTAATTATGTTCAATTTGTAACAATGAAAATACATCCTGCATATCAGATATTTACATTATGATCCATAACAGTAGCAAAATTAGTTATGAAATTGCCATGTGTTTTAATGTTTACACAGCTCTCTCGGTCAGTAAAATGTATCTTACCCATGTTCTGAGACTTTGGTTTTTGTTGCAGGAGATGGGAAGGTGAACTTCTCAGACTTTATAAAGGTGCTAACAGACAAGAATCGCTTCTTCAAGGCAGTGGGTGAGAGATGTTTTTGACTTGATAGCAATTAGATAATTTCCATTTGAAGTACCCCATGTGTTATTAATGTCAGCCTCCAGTGAGGAGACACATTATGAAGGTGCAGTCTGGACAGTGATTTCCTTCTGTACTGCTTCTGCAAAGAAATATTTGCTTAGTCGCTTCATCCAAGCAGTTTCAAAATGTGTGCATCCCCAGACTGTGGAGTTGTACAAAGTCTTTCAGCTCTTCGGTCTCCAGTGAGAACACTCCAGGAGGGACTGGTGTCTTAGTAAAACTTAGTCTCCTTTGATAGTGTCTTGGTTTTTTTGCCAAGTGCTGTCAGAGGAAACCAGCCTCCAACAACCAAAGAACGAGAAGGCGCAAATGTATGGCAATGATAAATAAAGATTGTAGGGTAGCAGGGGCACAGGGCGCTAACCCACCCAAGGGGAGGGTATTGTTTATATCTCCACAGGAAAAGAGGGACCAAACTTCAAACCAGTGCTCCAAGGTGTGAAGACAACATGC